GGCCCTGGCCCGATACGGGCCCCCGCTGCCAGTGGCGGGGGACCTTTGTCAGGGGCGACCCCACAGTGTTCCCGCCCCCCCCCAGTCTGCACGTGGCCCCGGTCCGGTACAGGCCCCCGCTGGGGGGCGCGGGGGACCTTTGTCAGGAGCGACCCCACAGGGTTCCTGCCCCCCGGTGTGCCAGTGGCCATAGAAAATTTCTGCATATTGGCTAATCTAAATTTCGAAGTGTCTGCTTGAAGACGGCATCTGATCTGTTGTAGTGGTTAGCAATAAATCAGATTCCAGAAGAAATATGTAATAGAACAGTATGTAGCTCATATAGACCTTATTTGGTATTAGCTTGTGTAAGGGAGAGCTGAGTGATTATGGGTTTATTAAGTTCATGTGAGGTGGACAATGGGCTTATGTAAGTGGTTATATAGTTAATACTTAGAACCCTAGTTAAATCCCAAGTATGGTCAGAGATGAACCCTCTGTTCCTTGGTGAGGGCCTCAGCCAGAACATTGGGAGTCAACCTTCCTGTCTTCCCGGAATAGAGTGAGAAGGAGGGCCCGATAGACGTCAAGACGGACAGAGTCCAGCTGTTGGGAAGTGGCTATGTAGTTGATAAAAAAGGAGTGAGCCAGAGAGGAGAGAGAAGAGGACCATGCTGCAGTAGACCATGTACCTTTTGGGGACCCAGCCGGCTGGGGAAGACGCTGACTGACTCGGGGAGAAAGATATATGAATGTCACTGTGTCAGTGATTTGTGTCTTATTTGCAGCAATATTAGTGTCCTGTCCCCCCTTGAAGGTGAAGTTAATTTTATTTTCTATATAGCGGCAGATCACAACACAGAAAAAGTCATCATGAAGTCGTACCAAAGTCAGTGGCATTAACCACCAAGCTATGGATTTCAGCCATTTCAGCATTTTCAGGGCAATTCTTCAGCAATCAGCATCCACACACATTTTCTTCAGGAGATGCATTTGTCTAGTTATTTCTACTTTTAGAATGACATGTTTTGTTAATAAGGCATGTAACAAAAGAAGGTAAAGGCAGTTTTACTTGCACCAATTATGTAAACACAATATAAGTAACACAATGTTAGACACAAAGCAGTAGGAAGAAGAACCTAAAGACAGACACTCTAACATATGCATAAATGTTAGGCTTTCAAAATAAAAATAAAAAGTTTTTCTCCAATTTACAATTTACTGCAAGAAATATACATAATGTCCATAATGACTCTGACAATGTTATAGGAGTGCAATGCTTATTCAGTGGAGTACTCCTTTAAGTTTATGAACAAACAAAACATACTAAAAAGTATAATATATTATCTTATCTACAATATCTTAATAACAACAAATAAAATAGATGGATATTAACAAATGTAAGTGTGGCTAAATTCTACCTGACCAGATTCTTTGTAGGCTTTTAGTCTGAAAAACACATTGGAAATGATCACATTTTGGGAAGCGAGTAGCAGAAGTAAAAAGACATTAACAAACATGAAAAACACTGTAAATTAAATTGAGAACAAATGCTTTCATCCAAATTGAACTAATTAAGTAAAAACAGCCTGTATTACTTTTTGAGAAGAGAAATTAAATGTTAGAAGCTATAGGAAACACACAGCAGCCAGCACTGTGAAAATCCACTATGATCGAATGTTACATGACATTAACTCACATTCAGCAACTGTTAGCATCTTAAGAGCAGGGATAAGAGAATGTATTTTTACAGCTGCCATTATTATTGTGTAGATGATAATCAGGTAAAATCAAGCAGCTGTTAACAAAGTCATATGATTTGGCAATTTAGAATTAGGCTTTAGGCCTATGCACTTTCTCTGTCACAATGTGAAGCCAGTCTTTCCCTGTTGCAAGCAGGACCTCAGACATTATCAGTGTGATTTAAGATTGGGAAAACAAGGGAAATTATATCAGTAACATAGGAGCTGGTAGGTTTAAGAGAATATAGTTATTGGTACCAATTTGTTTTTAATACTGATGTGTTATCTGATTTTCATAATGATGCAGATATAGAGAGTAGCTATAATGGTTTAACAAAAAGAAAAAGTATATTACTACAGAATTTTATGGCCCCTAGATGGCAGCTCTGACCACATGAGCAAACAGTCCTACTGCCACTAATGCAACCCAGGCACTCTCCAAAGAAGCAACTGCAAACCAACATGAAGAGAAACAGTTATGCTGTCCCATTATCTCTGAACATCCCTAAACACTGCGATGTTTCATCCATGTTTTGTCCCCAACATGAGCCCGCCGACATCAGACAGCAAAGCAGTAACAAGCAGCTGAACCTCAAGGCCACACGTAACAAGCTAATTACAAAGTATTGGACTAACATGCCAATTATGGCTTTAGAAGTTCTCTTTATGCATAAATATTACCACCAGTTGTCTTTGTCCTATACAGCAGTCAAAGGGAAAGTCTGAGATCTGTGTATGTTAGGTCAGTGGTATTTATCCGTATTGCCAGTGTGGGACTGGGAGTTGTCCTGTCAGAAGAATTCTTACATAAACAGACTGGTAGGTTGAAATGTATGCAGCATCTTCTAATACTTTCCTAAAAATCTCTATCATCCTCTTCCCTAACATGGATTCCATTTTGAATGAAGGCCTCTTTTTCTTGTGACACTGCCTCTGATTCATGCTCATGCTTGAAGCCATTCATCTCTGTGTCTGCAGCTGAGTGGACCATGGTTGCCTCGATGCTGTGATGAATTCCATAGCAGAAGTAGATCGCTAAACCTGGAAGAGCAGAGCAAGGCACAGCATCACTTTTTATATATCAAAGTCAATGTAAGCTTAAGGTTTTCAGTATTGTTGCAATGTCCGATCTGTTATGCCAGCTCATGCCAACAGCAGGCCTGAAATAAGATTCCCATTTAGTTGCTGGGGCCATTTTGATAATTCTCTTAATGTATTCCAGCAAAATCCAACATCTTGAGATTTGTGTCTGCTTTTTTTATGAAATAAACTACTATCGATATGAAAAGCATTTAAATAAACATATTTAGATGATCTTTGTAACATTAACGTTTCATTTGGGTAGCCAAAACACTAAAGTCACTGTCACAGGTTTTACTGAATGAACCACTGAAGATGTGTTATTACAACCCCTGTGTGTGACTGTCATATCATATATGGATAACAAAACAAAGCTAAATGGTGTGCGAGCAAGAGCAGTTATGTGAATGAAACAGACTGACCATGCTTCAACCAAGAACAAGGATAAGTGAAAGTTGCCAAGTCAAAATCCTATTTCCACTTTAGGAATAAGTACAACAGGCATGTCAGTGTAAACCCTGGAAAGACCAGGTTAATGGATAAGAATGGAGTATAACTACCTATGACCATCCAAACTGAAAATCGCATCCAAGTCCCTCTGTCCAACTGCATCATCAGGTAGACATTGACAAACACACTGATTACTGGAATGAAGGGCAGCAGAGGAACCTGTATCAAGAACAAGGAAATATGGTTTTGAGTAGGCCTGACCTTTCTAACCAGTTAAATATCTGGACATAGTGTGGTGGAGCACAGCAGCTTGTAGTAGAGCATAGAGGAGCAGGGAGAGGGAGTGTTTGGTGGAGCAGAGTGGATTGGAGTGGATTCGGAGTTTCATACTAGAGCTACCTTAAGTTACATGGTGTAGCTTTAAATACACCGTGTGCACAATTATTAGGTAAGTTGTATTTTTGAGGATTAATTTTGTTATTGCACAACTACAGTGCTCTTGGTCAATCCAAAATGTTAACAAACCCTCAAACCTGAACATTTAAGTAGTAAAAGTGAAGTTTTGGCTTTCTTAAGAGAATATCTACATGTACACCATTATTAGGCAACTATTAGTGTGCAGAATTATCATGCAACTAAATAAAAAACAAAGATTTTCCCATCTCACTTATTTATTTTCACCTGTTAAAGTGAGAATAATAAACAAACTCATAATTTACAAATAAACAGTTCTGAAATTCCAAACAGAAAACCTCAGTGACCAATATAGCCACCCTTCTTTTCGATAACAGTCACAAGGCTTCCATTCACAGAGTCAGTCAGTTTTTTGATCTGGTCAGAATCAACTTTTTGTGCAGCCGCAACCACAGCCTCCCAGAGACTGTTCAGAGAGGTGTACTGTTTACCTTCACTGTAAATTTCCTGCTTAAGAAGGGCCCAAAGGTTCTCAATAGGGTTTAAGTCAGGTGAAGAAGGGGGCCATGTCATTAGTTTTTCATCTTTAAGGCCTTTACTGGCCAGCCACGCAGTGGA